ATTGTTGAGTATGCTAAAGAAATTGTTTCATACTACTTAGCAATGTACAACCATTAAACCCAAATTAACTAGTACAAAACAAATTAAAAATTCATTTTGTCAATTTTGTACGTTGTATTTCATTGAAAGTATTTTTTATCTATTCAGTCACATTTCATATATTTTCATGGTAACAAGGTTTTTGGTTCCTGGACACTTTATATGCGTTAACAAGACCATGGTTTATTGAAATTCTGATTTTTCACCATTTTAAGAAAAAAAACAATCCTAAAATTATTATTATTATTATTATGTTAACAGCTGTTTTCTAAACTATTTATTGAATATCGATTTATTTTCTCAATTAAATTTATCATCAATAAATATATATAGTATTATTTTCAATGAAATTTTTGACATGTAATGTTTGCTTCATTAAATATAATATATTCTAGGCGATAAATCACAATTAAAAAAAGCATTTACTGGCCTGTGTTTAATCTGAAGTAGGGTTCACCACTTTAGTGGCCCATAATGTGACTCCAGTTTGTACGAATGACCAAGTATGCAATGAAATAAATGTTTACTTAGATTTCCGCATATCATGCTTAGGTGAATCCCATTTGTACAACCACGGAATTAAGGAGCCAAATACAGTTTTGCGGATGAATTCATTTCATATAATCGTTCACGCAGACTGATATGAGAATATGAAGCCTAAAGGCAAAACGAAGTAAAGTAGAGAAGGTGAATAAGTCAACTCAATATGATTAGTCAATTACTAAGTATTTATAGTGAGACAAAAATAGGCTATATAAACAATGAACATGAACACACCGATAGAAACAACTAAGATATAAGTGGATAACAGAGAAGATCAAAAGATGTGTGCATAAAAACTCGAGAAGAATGGATTAATGAATCTGTCCAAAGGCTGGGACAAGCACTTAGTATCAGTTGTAGTGAAAAAAGGTTAGATATTAGACAATATGTCAAAGAATGATTTTAATTAGATAATCATTATAAAACTAGGAATCTTTAAATAAACATTTCGTCATTGTATAGATTTACAATCTCACTGGATGGTATATATAGCAAATGACTGATTACTAGTTTCGATTGATTGTCTACGACCATTTTGTATATGGACATGATGAAATTTGATCATCTTCACAAAACCTTCTGTTGTAGTAATTTATATAATTCAAGTAGAAAGAATGTATTCATTGATTAAAAAAAGTCTTTAGATTATATTAAAATTCAAAATCTAAAGAAAAAACAAACAGTCAATACATCTGTCATTGTATTATGTCCAAGTGGCTTTAATCATACAAATTTTTTTATTAAAACAAAATGCTTAAACTTAGCATATTTTCTGTTTACATAATTTTGGTTATTCATTGTCTTAGTGTCAGATAAGTTGTTATTATCATAAGTGTTATTTTGATAAAATTTTATCCAATTTTATTCAACTGTAATTAAATTATTATGGTTTATGTCGAGGTTCCGTTTTCACAAATGTATGTTATGATTGTGGAGCTTTCATTTTTCTTTCGAAAAATAGCATCAGCACAAACTTCAGGTAGAGAAGTGAGAGATTCGAATTTCTCCATGTATGACTCATAGCTTATCTTGTTAACCTCAATCTTGATCGATGTCAACAGAACAAGCTAACAAGTAATACGTCAGGAAATTCGAATAATTCACTTCTCTACCTGACGTTATTTACTGATGATCGTGTTCAGACGAACAAATCAAAGCTGCGAAACAATCGCAACTGATGGATAGAGAATTTGAATAATACTGCTCAGAATCGTTTGCAATTGCGCAGGTGCATCCATTCTTCATGTTCCCTCAAATCATAATCTTCTGAATTCCTCATGAGATTTTTTCTCTCCAAGTTTATTTCATTACCACTAATACTACAGCAACACCAACTATTGTGAGATTTCAATTGACAGTAAGACAATAGGACAAAAACGAGTGATTCAGAATCCACTAGCAGCTGTATTCCAAATCTATCAACTAAAGACAATATTGGAAAAATTCTCATGGAATTCACATTAGTTAAGGAAGACTAATTAATATCCAGAATGTGATAACTTAAACTAATCTGTATAAATTTGTGTAGAGCTTTAAGGTGAATCTCTCACCAAAATGTTAACGACAAATAGATCATTAGTTGAAAAATGAGTAAAATATGCTAGTTAAAATGCATTTTTTCATTTCTTTCTAGAGGGTGACTAAATCAATTCACACTCAAAGTTAATTTACACTATTATGTAGGCTAAAAAGTTCAAATGTTAATTATGGAAAGTAGTTTTTTTGATTAAAAAAGGACAATGGTAAAATATTCAATTATTTATAGCTATAGTATTAGAAATGTAATATATTTTTATTTTCAGTAATATTCATATAGTTTTTTTTTCATAATTTAAAGTTTATTTCTTAAAATGCATGAATTCTTACAGACAAGGGAAATAGCTAAATGTTTGATGAGAGAAGAGTTAAACTTTATATGTTTTATGAGAGATTATTTATGAAGGCGATTAGTAGAAATTTCACTAATATCGCAGTTTAAATCATGAACTATGGTAGTGCTCCTAGGTTTCTAATGACCGTTTCGCTTAGATCGGTTTTCCAGAAATCTCCAAAAATCCCTTTATTAAAAAACAGTCATATGCTTATTGGTGACTAGCTTCTAGCAGGAATCTTTAGAGCTCTAATAAGATGTCTTGACCGAGATGAGGTTCATTCTCAGTCGAGTAGACAGCATTTATCCACCGCCGGCGACGGATTAAAGTTGCGCAATATCATGGATTGATTGAAGATAGTCAGTAACACCATTCGACGCTGACTTAGTGATAGAGAAGTTAAGCGTTTGCTTTCGATACCGAAGGTCCTGGCTTCGATCCCACGTGAGGTGGTCGTAGATGCGCATAACCGATGAGTGCCATACTGTGACGAAATAGTCATTCAGTGCTTTTAGGTTTCCGATGGTTATCTAACTTATATCAGTTCGTGATTTCAACCATGAAAGATGATTGATCTGAAAGCAGCATGAAAGGAACTTCACTGAGCATCATAAATTTTTATTGGTCCAATAGTCAGCGTCAGTTTATTGTTAAAGTATCACTGCAAGAATAGCCGATCTTTTAATCCTTTGTTAATAATATACCGGTAAAAATGAAGTCACTATTTTTAAACCAATTAAAAACAACAGCAACTGAGGGAATAAAATCTAACCAATCAACTGATTATAGAATAATGATGAATTTAGATGCAATTCGTTCAATCAACCAATGAGGATATAACACACACAAAATTAGAACAACACATATAAGCGAACAATATTATTTTCGATTAGATCGTCATCAGGCTTTACTCTAATATACATGAATATTTATATGAAAATGTTAAACCAATCAAGGCAATTTGAGTGATAATCACAATGAAATGAAAAAGATTACGTAACTACATATAATAGGCAAAAGTTCAAGTGGATAATAGGAAAACAGGTATACTGATAGTAGTAAGAAAATTTATAAAATATGATAACTAAAGTAGGTCAAGGGTGGATGAATAGAATTCAAATAATCATCCAAAAACATCAAAAACATTACGTAATAAGCAAATGTGTAAAAATAAAATAAAATAAAAAAAAATATAATGTCAATCGTTAGTTACGTCATATCCGGCCACGGAAGAGATAGGGGTGTCACGAATTACTGCTGAACACATAAATTAGGGTTGAATGAACGTATTCCTATGGCTTCTGCAATGTGTAGGAGACGGGATCGAACTCCGTTGGGAAATGATGGAGGTATACGATAGATCACCCGAAAAGATCTAGATTTATTTACAATGTGACCACTATCTACCAGGTGTGCTAAGATAGAACTGCGTATTGTTTTTGACTGACCCTTCGTAAACCATGCTGGGAGATGTTTACTCATTCGTTGTGTAAGTTGCCTGGAAGTATGGCATTAAAAATAGTACACTAACATGCCTGTATGCATCTGAAATTTTTTACTTTAAATATTTCAGACAGATTTAATCGAGCTAACGAAGACGTTATCTAAGAGGAATCTAATTAGGTTGAATTTAATCATGTACAGTTTGTTATAATTAATGGTAATATGCATATTTAAAGATTTTTATTGATCATACTGTATTCACAATTATGATTTAATGGATTCAAAAGTCAGTCACTCGCAACTGACTAAGCAACATCCTTACATAAATAAAGTTATTGAATAAATACTATCAGATTATCTCATAAATGTCATAGATGAGTGCTATAAGTTGACAAACGGACTATCACAGATAGTCTCTCAAAGGGAATCATTATGGCTGCCAGAATAGGCTTCGATTTATGATCAGTATTGCTGTAGATTTTCCAACTACCTTCCCAATAATTGAATTTATATCGTGAAAGGGTTACTCAGACAATATAACTTTGGTAATGAACTCATTCGATTTACCTTCAACTTGTATCTGCATAATTACATCTCTTTGGAACAACATGTAAGTTGGAAGGATAGAGGGTAATATTCAAATGAATCTCGGAACAAATGCTGAAGACCTTGAATTTGATTGATTTCACTCTACCTGGAGATAACATAAGTAGACATGTATTGGTCACTGGTTATTTAGTAAATCCTGTCTTTCGATGAATGGATAGACAAAATAATAACAAACTTCTACATTAAGCAGAAGCAGCCTCCAATCGATATCGCGACCTCAATTCAGGCATAAAAAGATAGTATTGTTTGTCTGGCACTTTCATGATTCTCAAATCCCTGTTACAATTCTCGACTTTTCATCTTTCCTCAAAATGAATATATATATATATATATATATATATATATATATATATATATATATATAAACTGCCATTTTCATTTTTTATATTATAGTGATTATTACAACTGGCCCATTTATATTTTTATTTATTATTCAATAAAATTATTGAACTATTTAACTGATCAGGTCAAAATATTGATCTATTTGTTTTATAGGCATAAACAGTACTACTTGAATGAATTTGAATGTTTATTTGAAAAAAGTTATATTCTTAATAATTAAGTGAAAACCGAATGATTCTGATCGGATTGTTTCGGTAATATGTATATCCATATATTTATTTAATGAATTACTTCAGAAATAGATATACATTGATCAAATTATAAATATTTAAATGATATAAATAATAAGAAAAATTTTTTCATATCAATGTCATACGCATTTGATTTGCACGAAAGTATTTACGGTTCTGAACAATACAATAATAATAATAATGATAATAATACAATCAACGGTAAAATTTCATCTAGTCGAACAACAACACCATTCAAACAAAATGGTTATATGAAAAAATTCATACAACAAAATGATATGAGAAAAACAAAAAAATCAAGTCCATTAATTTCTGTGAATGGTACTGGAGGAGGAATAGGTGAACAACGATTTGATGTACATTTTAAAGTATTATTACTTGGTAATTCCGGTGTTGGGAAAACATCAATACTCAGAGCTCTTGTTGGTGAAACATTTTATCATACTACTATTTCTACGATTGGTAAGTTTTGATTATGATCATTTTATTTTGCTTTGTTAATCAAGTAAATTATTTATGAAAGATGAATGTACTGATTGGTAATAAACGAATAAAACAAAATTTTAATTATTGACCAATTAAATGCAACGCTCAGGACTTGAAAGCGGAATAACTGGCTACTACTAGATGATAAGAGTTTGTGTGTAAACATTTGTTTCTTTGCAAAGTTCACTTGCTAGTTCAACAGCTCAGAAGCATTATCTCTAACTATTACACTGAACGACACTAGTTCGAGTGATGAGAATAGTAACTTCTTCACGTAGATTAAAAATTTACCTTTGCCAACGACCATAATTTTCTGCCAGTTAACTCCAACCAGTTACAATTAAATAAACGAATTGTGACATTGAACTAAATAGACGAGTTATAACAATTTTACAAATGATTAAACAGCATTGCTTACTATCATTTTAGTGTTCGAATAATTTCTATTGACTTTATTTCTCTCTTACTTCTTTACCTACGTCTGTTACCCCCAATGAAGCAGAGGCCGCCGAACAGTTTTCTCAAACCAACACTGTCCTGGGCTTCCATTTCTAGTTCTTTCCGGTTTTCGTTCATTCTTCTTATGTCTTTCCCTATTTCTCGGCGAAATTTGTTCCTTGGCCTTCCTCTTTTCCTTTCACCTTGACGGTTCCATATGAAAACTTGTTTTGTGACGCAGTTAGGCGCTTTTCGCAGTGTGTCCTATCCACTTCCATCGCTTCTTCCTAAGTTCCTCTTGCACTGAAATCTAGTTTGTTCTCTCCCACAGTAGGTTGTTACTGATGGAGTCTGGCCAACGGATCTGAACTATTTTGTGTAGACAGCTTTTAATAAATATCTTATGGATGATGGTTTTGGTAGTTTTCCAAGTTTCTGCTCCATACAGTAGAACTGTCTTGACATTTGTATTGAAAATCCTGATTTTGGTGTTGATTGTTATTTACTTGGAGTTGGAGATGTTCTTCAATTGTAGAAATGCTGTCCTTGCTTTTCCGATCCGCGCCCTCAAATCTGCATCGGATCCACCATGGTTGTCGATGATGCTGCTCAGATATGTGAAGGCTTTTACTTCCTCCAAGGCATCTCCATCAGGCGTGATTTGATTAGCGCATGTTGCATTGCATCAGAGAATCTTGCTTTTCCCTTTATGTATGTTGAGACGTACTGCTGCTGAGGCTGTTGCTACACTGGTCGTCTTCTCTTGCATTTGTTGTTGCGTGTGAGATAGAAGAGCCAGAACATCTGCGAAGTCCAGCTCGTCCAGCTGCATCCTAGTTGTCCATTGGATACCGTGCTTCCCTCCAGTTTTCGACGTCTTCATAATCCAGTCGATGACCAGGAGAAAGAGAGACAGTGAGAGTAAGCAACCTTGAATGAGACCGATCTCCACGTCGAACGATTCTGTTAGCTGTCCTCCGTGCACGATTTTGCAGTTTAATCCATAGTGAGAATTGCGTATGATGTTAACTATTTTCGCAGACACTGTGTAGTAGCGAAGAAGCGTCTATAGTGTCATTCTGTCTACGCTATCGAATGCTTTCTTGTAGTCAATGAAGTTGGTGTACAGAGGTGAATTGTTCCACGATGATGCGTAATGTTGCAATTTGGTCGGTACAAGATCTATCCTTACCGAATCCAGCCTGTTGATCTTGAAGTTGGGCATCTACGAGGTTCTTCATTCTGGTTAACAATACCCTGTTGAAGATTTTGCCTGGTATTGAGAGAAGAGTGATGCCTGTGTAGTTCTCTGACTCGCTGAGATCGCTTTCCTTTGGTATTTCGATGAGGCTTCCTTCTTTCCAGTCTGATGGTACTTGTTCTTCAGCCCAAAACTTGTTGAAGAGAATGTGAAATATTTATGCAGTTGCTGCCACGTCTGCTTTGATCGCCTCTGCTGGAATGTTGTTTGGTCCCGCTGCTTTGCCACTCTTGATTCATCTGCTGGCCATACTGATCGCTCCAATTGTTGGTGGGCCGACTTTGATTGGAAGGCCGTGGATGCTGCTTCGAAGTTGGGTGTGTTCGTTGAGGCTGGTCGATTCAGGAGTTCCTTAGGGTACGCTGCCCACTTGATTCGCTGTTTTTCAATGTTGTTGATGACTTCGTCTTCCTTGGTTTTCAGTGGTCGTTATGATTTACGATAGTTTCCAGCGAGCTTCTTTATTGTATCGTACAATTGTTTCAAGTTTCCTTCTCTTGTAGCGTTTTCTGCCGTCATTGCTAGATCTTCCATATATTTTCGTTTGTCAGCTCTGATACTCCTCCTCACTTGCCTGTTTGTTTCTGTGTATTCAGCTTATGCGGTAACTTTCTCTGTTCTTGTTTGGCTGATGTTGATTGCAGCCTTCTTGTTCTTCCTTTCTTGAATCTTATCCGGAGTACCAACAGAGATCCATTCCTTGTGGTGGTACTTCTTCTGGTTCAGACCCACGTGACATATTGAAGTGATTGCCTCTTTGATCCCTTTCGAATTGTTCTCCATGGTTGTTGCCTCTCCATTGAGTGAATCGTGAAATGCCTAGAACCTATTGCTAAGTGTAACGTAAATAGGTTGAACTTTCCAGTATCCCTAAGAAAAGCCATATTAAAATTTTGTTATGTTGTCCTCATCGCTGTGCAGTGCTTCTTGAGTTTCAGTTTCATTTTGGCGATCAGCAAGTGGTGATCTGAGTCTATCTCAGCTCCTCTCTAGGTTCTCACATCATCCATGATCCTTCTGAACTGCTTTGTTGATGCAGATGTGGTAGATTGTTTTCTGAGTAGTGTGATCCAGTGAAATCCGTGTAGCCTTTTGTATGCGCTTGTTTGGGAATATAGTGCCGTCGATATCCAGTTTGTCGGAGGCACATGGGCTTGCAAATCTCTCACTGTTTTCGTTCCTTTCTCCCACTCCATGTCGTCCCATGATCTCTTCATATCCAGTGTTGTCCATTCCAACCTTGGCATTTAGGTCTCCCATTTGAGTCGTCAAATCCTTTGGTGAGCATCTGTCGACAATTGACTGCAGCCTTCCGTAGAATTGATCTTTAACGTCGTCATTATAGTCATTGGTAGGTGCATAGTATTGGATGACGTTTATTGTAATGTCCTGTTTCTTTGTTTTGAAGGATGCTTTGATGATCCTTGGTCCATGAGATTCCCATCCTATTAGTGCATTTTGTGCTTGTTTGGACAGTATCAGTGCAACTCCTTGTGTGTGCGATGCATTTGCTTCTTCACGACCGGAGTATAATGGCAGTTCCCCTGAAGCTAGTCTCAGTTGTCCAACCTGCGTCCAATGTGTTTCACTGACTCCAAGCACCTCGAGGTTGTATCTTTTCATATCTGCAGCATCTAGTCTTCCAGTCTCCCACATTGTACGAACGTTCCACGTCTCTTAAAGAATGGTTGCTCTGGTTATCAGAAGAGGCAGCGGCCTCGTGACTTCCGAGGGAACTCGGCTTTGATCAAGAAACGGCATAATTTTCCTTCCGACTCTCAGGGCAGGCTTAAAATGGTTTGATTAATTTTTTCTTGTTAGCGTTTTTTTGGTGGGATTGGGTTGTCAACATCATGCCCAATTCTTCCCCTTTAACCGGGTTTGGGATCGTCAGAATCCGTGAAAGTTCTACATGCGGAGTGTTTATTTCTCTCTGATATCACTTAAATAAATTAATGACGGCCAAATGCTAAATTGTATAGTCTTTTTATTTCAAACCATGAATTGATTTTAGCTGAATTATTGTTGGAAGCCATGGAAATTCTACAATCTCCACAAAATCCTACACTGAGAATCAACTGTTTAACAATGATAAATTTTGAAGATGTAATTTCTGGAGTTCAAATAAGAGGTCGCAACTAGGGGAGTTCAACCATGCCGTGTATGAAGGAAATATCTACTGCAAGCATCGGAAGATTGTCTATCAATATCATGAATCGATTGAGATTTGACGTATACACTGATGAATGTTAGTTTGCTATTGAAGTCGTTAAATGTTCGCGCGTAAGACTAAATGTCCAAAGTTCAACTTCATATGATGTGTTCGAGAACGAACACTCATAGAAGTCCTAAATTGGAAAAAAATAGCTGTCTAATGGTTTCCAGGTCTCAGTAGTAGTTTAACTAAGATCATTTGGTGACCTTACTTAAAAACATCCTACAATTTCCTAAAAAGTCTGGATAAAACAATGAAACAGTTCTACTAGTACTATTCTCATGCTTATGCTCACATTCATCAGTTGGCTGAAGGAGTCTGTTGGGGAGCCCCTACATGCCCCTCTAAAAAACTTATAAATGCTTAGAAACACTGGGAAACCTTTGATCCAATCGTCATTGATTTTAATTGGACATTTAGCTATGCTGTTAATAAATTTAGTAGGGTTCTCGAATACTCTGGAACCCCAAGGTCATGCGTAACTCAATAAATACCATCATTTTTCCTTAAATAAACTAATCTTGGAGTAAAGCGTTCTTCTTGTACTTTGCTCCTTTTCTCTTGTGTTCTGGTTTCAGTGTAGATTTAGCCTGGGTTTTTTTCTAAGCAGATAAGAATTCAGATATTTTGCATTGATTTAGTGCTCTTATCAAGATGAGTAAAAAGTTTAAATAGTATAGAATAATTAACTTTTGCATTGACATATACCAATGAATACCAGTCTGTTATAGAACAGCTTTATTAATGTAATTATTTTCTAACAAAATTATTATTACAAAAATAACAAACGAAAAGTAGCAAAATCTTTGCAATTTTCATTAAATACACTGTTTTTATTATGCTGCAAATTTTGTGCATTCTACAAAAACAAATTTTAAAATTTCATGAATTTCCAATGAATTAATTCTTACAGTTTATTTTGGATATACAATAAAATCAGTTGATTTGATTTTATTTGTTTGTTTTTCATTGATAATCGAGACTTTTCACTGATTACGCAAGAATTATTTATTAATAAATCAAATTAAGTAGTTTACATTAATAGATAATAAATAGAAAAAACATTAAACCAGTTCTCAGTATAGGGTTGGGGAAATTGTTGAGATTATGCATTCTCACGAGAGAACTTGTCTTTGATTCCCACCCGGTAGGGTCATGGATGCACAGTGCTGAGTTCCACACTGGGAGGAAACGTTCATTTAGTGCTTTCAGGTTTATAATGGTGGTCTAATAGATTGATTCATGATATTAACTCAAAATAATCGAGATATTATAAATGTTGGGCTCTGTTATGGGGATTATTGAACAACCATATATTTTAAATAATAAACTGATCTTAGTTAGACTATAATTGAAAATCTAGCAGCATTGAGCATGTTTTGTTCTGCTACATGACTTCTCAGTAGTGTACTCATCCGCTACCTCGTATCCAAAATGTATACTACTAATGAGTCTCACATTAGGATGGAAAAGCTACCTACTGCTTCCAAGTTCATACCGATTGTTTAACTAAGATCGGTTCATGATATCGATGATTTGCAGTGGTTACATTTTTAGAATATAATCTAAAATCATTATATTTTTAGTCTGCTGATAGAGAATAAGGTAAAATGTGAATGAATGTCTTCGCTATACTAGTATAAACTTTAAATAGTAGAAATGAGAAATGATCTATTTGGACATTATGTGATGGTAAGTGATCAGCCAAAATTCATGAACTTGAGTTTTATACCATAACTAATACTTCCGACAGGGTTTTAACTTATAACATCCAGTGTCTCATTCAGAGGTGGTGGTGTTTCATACACAGAAGCACAAGATGCATCATTTGCCTGAAGGTTGCAAACATATCTTACTGATGAACGTCACTCATCAAGACTCGTAAGTAGTGTACAATTTATCTTAGGAACTTGTTGATAAACGCGCAAATGAAATGGAGGTGCAAGTTAGTCTCATAACAAGATATTCCCTATATCATTTGAGTATGACTTATTTAAACTTTAGAAATCAGTTATCAAAGCCACAGTGGTCAATTTTTAAAATCCGACGGTTATGTTGTGATTAATTTTATGACTCGGTTGTTGTTCTAACTCAGCCCGAACAGGGTTGAACTCCACTTTTCGGGCGTGAGGTACTGCTCACCGAAGAGAGTGGATGAAGTTGCGCAACACCGTGGATTGATCAGAGTTAGACATTTACACCGTTAGATGCCGACATAGCTGTCCAGAAGTTAAGCGTTCTTGGTCAAAACGGAAGATCCTGGGTTAGATTTCTGTGAGTAGCGAGAGTCGTCGTTGCGCACTGCTGCTAAGTCCCAAAGTAGGATGAAACGGCCATTCATTACTTTCAAGTTTATAATGGTGATCCAACACTGATCGATTCATGGTTTCAAATTATTTTTGGCCTATATGTAACATAATTAGTCTTATATTATATACAGTTGACTATTTAACTAAACTCTCGATTAGTATGTCGTGATTTTTGTTTGGCTGATCGATTATCTGTTCACTTCCTACACATTTCGGATCATCTGCGGTTCTGTTCGTTTGTCTGTTCTCCCTCTCTACCTAGCTCCATTTACTACTTGGAATATACAAACTCTTGCAGTTAACTCTTGGTCTTAAGCTAACGAGTTCATACTGGTTATTGAAATTTGCGAAGTAATTTATTACGACAGCTTTTGATGTGAGACAAAAACCTAAAGACTTAAATTAACGCTCTTCTCGAAACCAATAAATATAATGATTGTTTAACAGATAACAGTTCTGATTCATTTGTTAAATGAGAGAAAAATTAAGGTTCGTTAATTCGTAAACTTTTTTTAAAATTTCATATGCGTTTAGCTATTCGGAACAAGAGAAACAAAACATTTAGACTAAACGTGACCACTATAGTTTAAAATTCATAAGAGCATCTATGCATGTTTGTAGGAGGTATGGTTAATCCAAACTTTGTGAATGAATAACAACAAATCAAGAATGAAGACTCATTCAATGAAACTAATGTATTGACAGAGTAAAAATATTCGACATTTTTTCACAATATACCACAACTATACGATTTTAAAAACCGGTGACGATGATTGAAATATTATCAGATTCGATACTCGATTGATACTCAATGTACAAAAACTGAATCACTATATACTATATACCTGATCCATTATCTAATTAAAAGACCATTTAATGGGATGATCAATACTTTATTTTATATCATTACAAGCAGTTTAAATTCGATAAGCTCAGAGCAGAAATCAACAATAGAAACGAAACTACATATTGAATAATCAGTTCCTGTGTTAGTTCTTCAGCTAATAAAATAATACACTATATACTCTATACTCTCACACTAAAACGATATAGTGAGACTAAAACTAGAAATATACACAGTTACTTCTAATCTGTAGATCTGTTAGTATACAATATTTGTAACGATGATAATTTCTATCATAAACTCACTTCATTCAATTGTAATGAGAACTATCGATTACTAAGATTTAACCGAATGATATGAATGTAAAACAAAACCTGAGTAGTCAAAAGTGTATTCTCAAATCTTATGCCGAAAAAACCGTTAACTTTTTGTTATTAGTGAATTAAAACCATTTTTGAAAGCACGAACCGATCAATGTTAGATCACCATTAGAAACCTGGAAGCACTGGACGGCCGTTTCGTCCTGGTATGGGACTCCTCAGCAGTGCGCATCCACGACTCCCGCACCCCGCAGGATTCGAACCCAGGACCTTCGGTATCGTGCGCGAACGCCCCAACCGATAGACCACTGAGCGCAACCTCATACACAGTCTTCGGTAGTTACTGTCTACACCCGAACAGGTTGAACTTCACTGGTCACGTCTTCCCACTAGAACTCGGAGAAGATTCCTCACGAAGCTAGTCACTAGTGAGCACAGGTAATTTGCATAAAACTATATTATAAAATATTTTAATTAAGGAAATTGAGACTTGTAAAATTTTACCTGTTAATTCATAACAATATAAATACAAACCAGTTTCATGTAAAATTGCTCACTTAATCTTGTTATCCTTAATGAAGCATAGACCACCGACCAGTATTCGCCAACCTTCTCTCTCCTGAGCTTTCGTTTTCAATTGTATCCAGTTGCTGTTAATTTTTTTCATGTCTGTCTCTGCTTCTCGATGTAGTGTTCTTTGGTCTTCCTCTTTTCTTTTAACCTTGAAATTCCCAAGGGAAGGCTTGCTTCCTGATGCAGTTGTATGATTTTCTTAATAAGTGTCCTATCCATCGCCAATAGTTTTTCCTAATTTTTTGCTCAGCTAGAATCTAGTTTGTTCTGTCCCATAGTAGGTTATTGTTGATGATGTCTGACTTACGGATCTGCAGTAACTTGCATTCATGTATAACGGACTAATAAAAATTGATAAATTTGTCAATATATAAAAAAGATTAATAAATCTATTGTTAAACTTTTTTTTAAAAAAAACAGATTTTCATTTGTTTTCTTTCAGGTATTGACTTAATTAAACGAATATTCACAGTTGATAATCATCGTATACAATTGGAAATATGGTAAGTTCCATATTGATAGATAGAACTACTGTTGAAAATAGTTTTGTTTGTTTTGCTTTTTGTTTTTTATAGTAGAAAACATTTCTTTAAATAGTGTATTAACTTTGTAGTCATAATTAGTAAGAAAAAGCTATTTTATTCTGAATTATATATATATATATATATATATATATATATATATATATATATATATATATATATATATATATATATAAAGATCATCATAGTTGTAGTATATATGTTGTGAAGATGAATTTGAATGACCTTTAAAATGATTATGTAAATTTTCATGAATTTTGTTTTCAGTTTATTATATTATAGATTTTCTAATATAAATGTGAAAATATATTTGTGTTAACATTTTAAAAATATAAATGTGAATTTATTCATTTGTTAACGGTTTATCGCTTAATGTTTCCTTTATAGTTAGTTGTACAAATAACTTATAAATATGTAGCTGGTGAAAGAGATTAAGATTAAATCATTATAAGGGTATAATTTTCATTACCAAATCGATATAAAGAAATAATGCGTAGTGAGTACAAATTAATTCGAGTTCACCTGGCTTTTCCCAGCTTGTGAACAAATTAATCAATCCACTCTTCTCGACTTAGTATTCATACGTCGTCATTCGAATTTGTCAATTATTTAATTATAACGTTGGTTGTGTTTTTATTGTAGTTGAGTGTGTATATTGCTTATTTTGCCTGACTGTTTAGTCTACTAGCCTCACTGCATTGATTTGGCTTAATCGCATTTTCCATTTTGTTTCTCTGTGCTAATTCGCTTTTCATTCTCACGTCAGTCTGTGTGAACGATTGCATGAAATAAATTCATCTGAAAAACAATATTTGACATTTTTAATACCACCGTCGCACAAATGGGATTCACCTAAGCATGATATTCAGAAATTGATGGAAAGATTTATATTGTAGCATATTTAATAGTTCATAAAAATTGTAGTCAGACCACAGATAACTTAAAATGTCAATAAATCTTTTTCTTTTTCATTGTTCCTAGTCCTTCACCGCATCCATTTATTTAAAAAACCTCTAATATGAGTATAAAGCTATGATTTCAAAAGGTTGTGTGTGTGTGTGTGTGAATGACTTTAGGCAATTGGCTTTTAGGCTTTGTAGTCATCTTGAAAGGTCATCAAGACCACTTTTAATCCAGTTGCCTTTTCAAATCCCTTGAATATTTACCCACTGTAGACTGAAATACTGCAAATAATTATTATTCACCTCATTGATACTCAGTTGAAATGAACTTTTACCATGAAGCTACACCTTTTAAATACAGAAAATTTGTTATTTTTTTAAATCTATTGCAGGGATACAGCAGGTCAAGAACAATATCATTCTATTGTCTCATTACACTTTCGAGAGGCTAAAGTAAGTAAAAAACAAAAGTGTTTTATGGTTTTGATACAATAATTATATATTGTAAATTTTATTTGTGAAATCGATGTAGGATTATATTTTGATAGTTTAAATCACGAATTTATTTTATCTAGGCCACTGTCGAAAACCTGGAAATATCAGTCAGTTGTTTCATCTTACAATAGGGTCTATAAAAGTGTTCATCCACAACCAAGTCACGAAGAATCCAAATCAGAACTTACGAAATTGCGCGTGAACATTTGACCTTTAGATTAATAATGAGTCAGCATCCAATGGTTTATATGTTTATAATAGTGACCAACCATCTTCCATTGTTTGCAGAGGATAACAGTCGCATAAACGACATGATTGTCTGTAAGTGAATTAATTCACGATATTTCGGGAATTAAAGTTTGAATCCGATGCTGAGAAATGATTGCTTCAAATTTACAGACTATTCCTAATAAACATTAAACCCAAATAGTTTTAATCTCTTAGTATTATAAATAAGCGCTTATATATGGTGGTGTTTCGTTCTCTGAGCTGGTTATTTTGGTTGTGGAGCTTTCATTGTCCTTCTGAACAACATCATCATTACAAACTTCAAATAGAAGTGAGATATTGGAATTTCTCCACGTTTGACCTGTAGCTTGTTCTGCTAACCTCGATCTTGATTGGTTGTTGTTGACCTTAAACCTATTGTTGTTTGCACCTTTATTTTGATTGTATTCCCCTTTTGATCTGTTCCTTGATCCTATGTCACCTATGATTTTTCTGATTGGTTGATAAATTGGGTCAATGTCGATGTGTTTGTTGATTGCTGAATGACCTGAGTGCCAAGCTTCTAAAACGTCTCTAGTGTTCTTTGTTCTCCCCTTATCCAGTATTTCCACATTGTCCTAATCGAATGTGTGTCCATAATTGTCGGTATGTATTGATATAAGCGAAGAATTGTCGTGGCGTCTGACTGCTAATTGGTGTTCACGTAAACGAAGCCGCAGAGGCCGTCCACTTTGTCCTATGTAGTGTTTTCCACAGCCTAAAATGGTTCACTTTTTTGAATACTAAGAAAAATATCTTACTAGATGAACACTGTAATATTTGGTGTTTTGATTAAAACAGTATTTTTATTAAAAATGCTAAAATTATATTTTAAACTTACATGTAATTAGTGCTAAATTAAAAGTGGTTTACTTTTATATTCATTTATAAAATCTCAATGGTATTTTAAGTTTGTTTTCTACTGACAGAACAATAAAGTGAAAAATAAAAAAATTTTTTTTTGAGTGTCCAAACTAATGGTAGGTAGGTTTGAAATCGTTTTACCAGCCAATTGTACAGTCAGTCAATTAGCCACCTACAAGGTGGAACTTCGTGCATACGTACATCAGTGTTCAAGTTGCCATATTACATTAGGACACAGAGATTGAATTGTCAATTCAAATCCTATAGTAGTTGACGTAGTAGGAGTAATAACGGTAATGGAAAACATTAGAGTTCGAAGATATGGTTCGAGAAGGATATCTCAGTGGAGTCGGTTTAAAACAGAGAAAGATAGGGGTGATGAGGAATTCAGAAGGTTAGGATTTGTGACGAGGCAAAGAATGAATGCACTTGCACCATTGCAAACAGTTTTGAGCCATGTCATTCAAAGTCTCTAACCATCGATTACCATTGTCTCGCCGACCCCAACCAGTTAGCTTATACCTATAAACATGGCTCAGTCTAGTTGTCTGTGACTTCATGTATTTGTGTCATGTTTTGGTTTGGCTTCGGCTAACTTTCTTCCAACTTACCGCTACAACAGACAGCATCACTCGTCGAGGCAGTCGGGCGCATGTAACACATGTCCCAACCACCTTAACTCATCAGGACTCATTACTTCACCTATTGACCTGCCATCCTTATCTGGTACCCGTTTCCTAACCGCAGCATTGCTTACTTGATTGCTTCGAAGACTAAATGTTCAGAGTAGCTGTAATGCATATAAGCTAGAATCCACAAATGATACAGTAGGACAATCAAAAGTATGTATGAATATAAAGTTTCCTTTCTACTTTTAGTCTTTTTACTCAGTAGCTCATTGAGGAGCTTGTTCGTAAGAAGTTTGTGTATTAGTTTCAGTCTGAAATACCGCGTGTCAGAATATCAGCATCCACACAAATCAACAGTAATGTATTCTGATTTTCTTTTAATGAAGTTTAAAATTTGTAAAGCTATGAATGAAAAATCAAAATTCCATCCATTGACTCGGTTTATTTAATAAATAATGTTAGTTTTTCTATGTAGAAGAGTGTTGCTCTTTGAGAAAAATAGTATCATTCATATCATATGACTTGTGAATGAATCATTGGATTCAAAGCAAATATCGATGCTGAACCTGATAATTTCATATTGATAAATAGTATGAAAAAAAATCATTATTATTTTACTGATTACGAAGAATATAAACAGTGATTATCAGTAGTTAGTTATAACTGTAATGATTGTCATTGTTATCGTTTACCGAATGCTTAATTGACATTTGTGTTTGATAGTGACATAGAATATTAATATGGATTAATTTAAATTTAGAAAGAAATCATAACTACATCTGATAATATGATTTCCTTCATGATTTCAGCAATTAAAAAGATCTCCGTAATGCTATAATGAAAAATCGTACAATGTGTTCACTAGTGACTAGCTTCTTGAGTTAATTATCGGAGGTATAGTGATAAGACGTAACCAGTGAAGTTCAGCCTTGTCGGGTGTAGGCACTATCAAAGACAAGTGGGTGAGGTCGTGCAAAATCTCTAGATTGATCAGAGTTAGACATTAACAGTGTTAGATGCCAACCCAGTGGTACAGAGGTTAGGCGTTCGCGCGGAAAACCAAAGGACCTCGGTCCCAATCTTACGAGTGGCAGGGGTCATGAATGCGCGCTGCTGATGTGTCTCATACCAGGACAAAAAGGCCGTCCACTGCTTCCAGGTTTCTAACGGTAGTCTAACAATGATTGATTCATAATTTCAGCTATTTCCTAACAGTCATATTTGTATAAATTCAAATGAGAAATATATAATATCAATTAATTAATGATTTACTATGTGTATACAACTGGAACCTACGTTTTTTGTCAAATATAGAAGTCGTCAGTATGACGCACCTGTAGCTTTGTAGGAACTAGTCCTCCTTGGGGTGGGATGAGACCAGTTTTAACTAAAATCGTTCATTATAGTATCTGACATTCTGAACCTGGGTGGCAAATGAGCACACAGACTCCCAAGATTGTATATAAACCTTGTTTCGACTACTTGCAAAAATATATGAAAGCTTGTTTCAGGGTTACTTGTTGATTACCGCTAACTGCCTGACAGTTTTAAAAGTTTCATATCTCCCAATGATTTTTGATGGTACGTGAAATTCAGATCTTGTAGACTAATGATTAGTAAAAGCCCCCAAGAACTGATTTCTAGTCAATGAATTCTCTTGCAAATCACTTGTTAATTCAACTCAGAAAGACGAAGAACGACGATGTGTGATGAATATTGATGATGTTTTGTTCAGACTTTAGGGAATATTTCTCTAGCCTGTCCATCGTTATGAATAATAATAATAATGGCTCTATTCAGTATTATATTGATATGCTTGAATGATATTACGAGTTCACCTTACTCGGTAAACGGAGCGAAGACAATTGATGCAGCCAAACGATAGGCTATTCTAATCCGTTTGTCCCTGGCCCGGCTAACTATATAAAGTCTTTATAAGGCGTAGGAGGTGTATCCTACAAGCACCCAGAAAATACGAGGTCGACAAGCACACAAATCAAGCATACTTATACATGATGGAAGCGCCTTGGGAGAGTCACAAAATAGCGTGCTAAAATAATCCATCAACCAATGACAGTCAAGGATTTTCCGAGTGGGAAATGTAAGCTGAAAATCAACAAAGCAGCTTATGCACGAAAACATAGAAAAATCCAAAATTAGAACCTTTTCCAAGTGAGGCAATAGCTCGTAAACTTTTTTATATGCACGCCTGAATAGATTTTGCGATTAACACATATAATTGACATGTTGAAACAAACAACTCAAGTAACTTATTCAAATATTTTGATTTCAGAATACAATTAGCCTAAATATTCAAGCAGGCCACCGAATTAATAGGATTGCCATTTATAGTTACTGTTTTCATAAATATTATTAGGTAAACACTGTCGTTTCACTCTTTTCTGCTGGTCAACGGTGTCTGTTTAATTGTTACAAATAATATTCACAAAATCTTCCTCATATTTTCTACCCTTCTTAACGATGATAATAATACTGCAAAGTATTTCTGTTTTATTGAAAGTTCAAGACTTAAACAGTAACGGTTGTCTATCATTGATCTCCTCTTAATACTTCTCTACTTGACATCATCGATACGAATATAAATGGTCTTTATAAATTCATCCATAAAGCTGTGATATATTACGGGCAAGCCAATGGTGTACACGAGAATCACTGTTAATTTTCACACTCTACATCTTAATACTGATACTGAATTCTGCGCTTTAAATTATAACCCTACATCCTTAAATTAAGCTATGATACTAATTGCAATTTTTGATTACAAAACCCAGATCGTTGTATCAACATTAAAAATCACTCATTGTTTCTGTTTTCTGATTGGCTGGATGTGGTTAAGAGCTTATCAAGGTCAATTCGTATAATTATAGCTCACTTGGATGCTTCGGCTACATCAGCTTGTTCATCAACATTGAATGATGGTTGGTTGAAAATAAACTAATCAAAAAGTGAAAAAAATTCAGTAAAGACAATTTTCATTTTGACGAAATTATTTACTTAAGCTGTATTTATAACTGTTTAACAAACACATAATTCTATACAATGATAGGTAGGTTGTATCTGACACATTCGCTAGATGGTTCTCTATGAAGATCTATGTATGGAAAACCAAATGTTATGGTCAATATTCAGGTTTTCGTGGTTGCGTCCCACTAAGTAGATATCGAGACTTTATCCACTCTTTATTCTCGAGGACTAAAAGAGTATGTTCTCATGACTCAATCGATGATGAAATACTTCCATTTTGACAGGTGCTCATCAGAAATGGCTATCCATCCAGATTCTTCAAAAGAAACTTAACACTGAAAAAGCACTGGCACTTCAAATAAAAACTCTTTATAAATGTCGAGCTTAAAAGAGCTACGGCTCCAAAAATTTTGAATTAAGAAATTTCAAAGTCCTTAACAAAACCTTCTACTCAGCTATACTTCTAAATTCTGCAATTCACAGATGCGTTAAGAATAAACTTTCACTTTAGGCCACATCGATATGCATCTGTAAATTTACTTGTTTCTGCGCGGTGGTAGGTTGCATTGGTTGCACAAAGTTGGCATTTTCCAGACGTACATCAGAACACTACCCCGCTTGCCTTTCATAAGGGAAGTGCGAAGCTTTGACTACCTTTCTATAGGAGCATCTGATGTATTCAAAATTGAGATAAATAACTTCTTTCGTTTGTTTTCACCTATATCATTATCTTTATTTGACCACTGACTAGATTGGTAACCTTGAATAGCGTTTAACTATAAAATTGCCCCGAAAATCATCTGCGTTCGATTAGATTATTCGGACTGTATAATGTAAATATATTACATTTTTCCAATCAATGTCAACTGATCACACTATCGTAAATAAAATAACTATTTTTTAAGATGAAGAGGCTACTGACTTTTTCCCTATGGTTGGATTTTTTTCGCCTAACTGATTTGGATTGGGTAGAGTGCATAAAAAATGAAAGTGGAAATAATCATCCAACATTGAGTGGTAATTCACGCTGTTCAACTGCTTCATACGTAAAGTAATTATCGTCAACTACAATCGATAATGGTCGTGCAATATCCCAATCGGTTTAAATTATACATGTAGATTATTGGATGGTGCCCAAATGGTCAAAACTTTACGAGTTCGTCACTTGGCCTGAGTATCCGCTGGTTCGATCCCCAGTTTGATAGTGGATCAGCACTTAGGTTGAGTCCCATTCACACCAGAACGAAACGGATGTAGGCTGATTCCTGATTCCCATTAGCTGCCTAATACGCATTAAACTGTGGTGTAAACTGTGAGACCTACTGATCTCCCAGCATCTATTTCATTAAGTGTACAGTGGTTTTAGCATAAGAGTATTTATATATTTACTTCAATTTTTATTAAGGATTTCCAATTAATGCAGACTCTTCTGATGCTATTGTGTTCTCTTTGGTTAAGTAGTTTATTTCCAAATCATTTATTATAATTCTTATTAATATTATTGGCTCATAAACATAACAGCAGGATAAATCATTCTGGTACTTGGGAATCTGGAACTAATAAGCTTCATTCTGTGCTGAGTTAAACTAGTGGATACTAGGTTAATGGTCTAGCCGGCAGTTCTGGAGGTTTTCTACTCGATCCCTGAGAGTCATGAATGCACACTATCGTAATCTCCTATGTCAGGGATGAATATCTTTTATGAAACTATAAAACATCTGTTCATTGTTTTATAATGTTCAATATCAGTCTTGAACATCAACAACATCTTTGAAGGAACTCATTTTATCATATTCAAGACTCGTCAACCGGACCAACCTACATCCCGAAGCTAAAGTCCCCTATGGAATTCGAAGTCAGTACAGTTCGTTGTAAACGCTATTGCCTTATCTACTTGAACTCCATCATAATGGTTATATGGATAATTCAAAGCAATATAAAATTCAAATAAAATTCTCTGATATTTCATATCACTGATTTCTATTGATGTTTTGAGACTAATTAACAACTATCTTCATTTTACTATTGAAATTAAAGTAATTTCCCTCCATCCTGTTTTTTGTACTATTTTTACAGTGTTTCATTATTGTTTATGATGTAACAGATACAGAATCATTTGAAAAAATACGTAAATATTGGCTTGGATGTTTAGATGAGGTAAGTTTGTGTTGATGCTTACGAGTTAATCAAATAGTGTAAGCTCATTTTTAGTCAACTAAAATTAAAATCATTTAATGGATTATATGATTTAAATATACAAGATGTCGATTCCAATGTGATTCTATTAATTTTATTATCGATTTTCTATGATTTAAACTGATTGAATAGCGTATTATGAAGTTGATGATGGCCATGTTATCCGTAATAATAATAATAGTAATAATAATAATAATAATAATAATAATAATAATAATAATAATAGACAATAAGCTCCTTAGTTACATTATCTAATGAAGTATAGGGTGTGTATAAATGTGTTGAGCCCATAGGGCCTATCCAGGCTTTTGGACAAACTAAATAACCTTTTCTGCTCGAGTCATAATTCGCTCGTCTTTCGACTTTGTCAATTTTTAATGCATAACCTTAGTTGTTTTCATACGACATTATGTGTGTGCATTGCCTACTTCGCTTATTGGATTGGCCTAGTTCGTGTTTAACTGACTATAAATACTCAATCATGTCTCATCACATTGAGTCGGCTCACTCACCTTCTCTGCTTCACTTCACTTTGCTTTAACACTTTTTACCCTCATCTTTGTCTGCGTGAATGGTTCCTTGAAATAAACCTATCCAACTGAATTCGTATTTGGCTTCTTATTTCCGCCGTCACACAGACGAGATTCCTTTCATTATGATGAATGGAAATGAAAGAGGAGATTTTTTTCATGGCATATCCAATCGTTCGTCCTTATTGGAGTTATATCCCGGGCCACCAAATTGCTGAGCCCTAATTGCAATTTAACACAGCCACTAAAACAGAATATAAGACTAACACCAAAAATATCCACTGGAACTATACATTTTCTTTGCCATTTTTAGTAATAGATTATGATGACTATTTCTAAGAGAATATTGAATGACTCAAAAATCTCTAATACCTTGATACAAAATCAAAATGGCAATGATGACACGTAGATATGAGGACAAGTTTGGAAGAATTATCATAGAGTCATCAGTTGCCTCAATAAAAATACTGTCGAGCTATATTCAGTTAATAGCTGCGCAATATTTGAATAACACTTCAAAGATTCTTTATCAGTGTAGGGATTTTGTGAAGATTATTGAACTGATCTTAATGAAACACTAACAATTGGAGATTGAAAAGCATTAGACATCAGTTTTGATGGGTGCTGAGATCAGATACTTCATCTATATCTCACCACGATGTCGCCCTATAAGAGATAGAAACATAGAACCTTTAGGTTTCAGTTAGTGTTTCTAATTTTGACTATTGAGCCGGCATACATTCGTTTCCGTACCCAATTTCAATTTTCTCTATTCCCCATAGACATCATGTAATTTTTCTTAATAATTTGATGTTATTAAATTACGAACAAAACAAAAAGTATGTTAAACTACTTGTATGTATGTATGTATGTATGTATGTATGTATGTATGTATGTATGTATGTATGTATGTATGTATGTATGTATGTATGTATGTGTGATGAATACAATGCTGCCTAATCGTTCTTCCATGTAATAATCAACACTCACTTATCTACTATCAGTACTAATTGATTTTTCCCAATGAATATCATTATCCAAGCAATTTCGAATTCATCTGTTTTTTCTTCCGGACAGTTAAATACTTTGCCCGCTCATTTCAAGAAATTGCGATACCTAGCTAGATAGATAGGTAGAGAGAAATGGGTGAATAACTCATTTGGCATTTTTACAGTTATCAATAATTTTTGTATGATAAGCTAAGATATACAAAGTTACGTACATATCATTTATAGCAGCAAGAATTTTGGTTGTATTGAACAATGAACTGAAAAGAAGAAGAATTTGGGATAGACAAACAAACAGCATAGGGAGATTGATGCGAAAAAAACATTGTCTGAATTCTTCTTTCTTATTATTAATGTTGCAGTTATACCATTTTCAACCCTGTTATTTCGTGAATAATTAACGATAATTATAAAAAACTCGGATTGAATCAGTATGTTACTACCGGTCTAATGCAATAAGATAAAATTAGATTGTAAATTTTAGTGTAGACCATTCATGCTTTGATAGACCGACTTATGACAGTGGATTCCAATCCGTGTCAGGTGTCAGACCGTTATCTACTGCAGGCGATGGATGAAGGATTGCACAAGATCGTGAATTGATTGAAATCAGACATTAGATGCTGAATCGGTGAACTGGAGATTGAGCGTTTACACTCGAGACCGAAGGTCCAAGATTCGATCCCTGAGTGTTTTTCTTTCATCTTCAGTTGATAGTAACAAGGAAAATTATTGTTAATAGATAACTACTGAATACTCTTTTTAGCTAGTTAAACTGATTAGATTAGATTACGACTCAGCGGTCTGGAGGTTAAGCGCTTTTCTTGAGTCTTAAAGCTACTCACTTCAATCTCTGGGACAAAGCATTGGACGTTCCTTTCGTCCCGGTATGGCATTAGTGCCCCCCACCGACGATTAAACACAAGACCTTTGACCTTGTATGTGAACGTAAAATCTCTTGACAACTTAGTCAACTTGTAATTCTGTGCGAGTCTAACTTCAATCGTTTATAATCATAAAATGTACCACTAAATTACTGAATAATAAGAATTTATTTATTTTTAAAAATGCATTTCAGATTAAAATAGGTCTTAAAGTTATGATTACTGCGGAACATAATGGCTCTGTGTTCATTTTCATGTGAGGTCTTGGAAACTGTGAGACTTCTACAACTTCTACAACAAGATCTCTCTCGAACAACTGATACAACAGAGCGACGGTTTCTGCCAATTCAACAGGGTTCTTCATCCGATGATATGAGAATTATTGATGTTTTGAAAGAAGAATATAATTCTGACTGATTGAAAATCAAACAATTAACTTCAATGATCTAGTAACAACATGGGAAATAGAAGTACACCTAATCAAAATCAGGTTTAAGCTAGTCACAGGCGATTATAGAAGCAGACTGATACTAAACTATTTATGTGGAAGAGCATACATTTTTAGTATTTTTATTTACATTGCGGGGTTGTGAAGATTGTTAAGTTACACATTTTTGAAACCATGAATCGATCAATGATAGACCACCATTAGAAACCTGGAAGCACTGGACGGCCGTTTCGTCCTGGTATGGGACTCCTCAGCAGTGCGCATCCACGACTCCTGCACCCCGCAGGAGTGCAATAAGTCACTTAAATACTCACTCCTGTTAACCCTAGTGGAGCATAGGCTATTGGCGGGCGAATCATTTTTTCTGGTGAGCGTTTTTTAATGAGTTGGATTTCTATGGGATCGGGTTGCTAAGCCCATGCTCAACCTTCCTCCTTTATCCGGGATGGAACCGGCAGTAACCCCAGAAGAGCAACAAGAGGAGTTTTTGTTGACAGTTAAAAATGCACTGACTTTATTATTGAGTACTTTCATTAGACCAAACTAGTAAGAAAAAACACCTATCTCATTCCAGTAATTCAGCAATTGATGTTAGTTCATGATCTTTGTTTTTTCTGAACATTATCAGTAATTTCATTTATTCGTTTTAATAAGATTTAATAACTTGGGCCAACGAAAACCTAAGATAAATATTGGCTTTAAAATTATCATTGACTTACAAAATTTTTTCATTAACAGTTACACTTACTTGTCATTTTTTCTTCTTATCTATTGCATAAATCTTACTTAATATTCATTTTAGCATATGGAAGATGCAGTACCGGTGTTTTTTGTAGCTAATAAAATTGATATGATAAAAGATAAAAAAGTGTCAACGGAAGAAGGTCAACAAGTGAGTTAACATTTGATTATATGTAACATTTTGCGACCAGCATTCTGATTATCTGTGAGTATTAAGTTCTTACTTTAGTACAAACTATACAATGGCATGACTCACAAATCTGGCTAAGAAAAGAATGCAAGGTATTCTTCGTTAAACCGATACTTTAATTTCAAAAATATGTAAAACATATCATCATCCTTAAATCGTCACTCGTCTATGGTGTATACTTAATTCGTGTGTAATATGAGAATTATACTTTGATAAGGTATATGATAGTTATCAGTTGCAATCGGATTACAACAATAAGCAACACCAAAATGAGGTCGAAGAACTTCAAATGTGGAAAATGTTTCAACAAAATAAACATTCACTTAATACACTTAAATTAAAGGTAACTAACTGTTTCAAGTACTGAAAAAATGTAATTACAGCAAAAAACAAATTCAATATCATGACGGATGGCCAAGGCATTCAAAAAATTCAGAAAATCATTCGACCTGAAACTGGTTACTAAGTGTTAGTAAGTAGCATAAATGGTACATGGAAAAGTTAGCAAGAGTGTAAACAACACATAACTGAACTAAACAAAAGGAATATGATATATATTAGTATAGAAAGATTCAGTAGATGCAGGAATATCAGGCAGCATGGAAGACATATTTTGTTGATAGAAAAAGGACAAAAATAATATATGTACTAGTTTTAAAACGGGAATCGGAAACAGGGAAAACTTCGATGACAAATAGGTACACTACAATATACAGCGTAACAGAGAGTGTCATGTTTTGATTTGTTCATTCTTGCAAATCAGTGTCTGTAACACATAGCTGAATCGTCCTAAGCAGTACATGTTTGCTATTTCACTAAGTGACCGAGCCTAATTATCCAAAACAAGTAGCTAAACATTTTCAATTCTGTTCATCAAATGTACTGCTTATATGTGAACAGTGTTTTGAAAGGTAACTTATAACTACGAAGTACACTGCCGGAAGTTGTTAACAGCATTTTCTAAGATGCAGAACTAAAGACTGATGTAAAGATAGGATGCTTGGTGCTTTTGCTTAGTGCTGATGATTCATTTCTGATCAAGAAATTCGACTCTGTTCCATAAGTTTACAGTTTTAGAGGATGAAGTTGGTTTATAAAATCATGATAGTTTTCTTCTTCTTCTTATTATTATTATGTATTTTAGAGTATAGTTCCGTAAAAGAGATCCAGTCACAAACCACAAATAGTTTGGAGATTTATTTGAAGTGAATAAAAGTTAGGGAATGTAAGAGAATCTATTAGGAAATGCGATGTACAGTTCCATTACTGAAAGACAAGCTTCCTGTATGCTTACCTAACAGCTTACTTTAATGAGAAGACTGATTGTGATAAGGTGTTTACGTGCTTTACAATTTGAGATGTTTACAACTGAAATACTTGAAAAGAAATCGAGTAGGCGACTGTGGCTTTAAAATTAGTGATTTTTGTCAAAAATATCCCAATTAGTCTCCTATCTAACATAAGCATTATCATTGAAATCATGGGACGATCCGTGTTAGACTACCATTGAAAACTTGGTAGCACTGAACGGCAATCTCGTCTTCGTATGAGATTCTTCAGCAGTGCTTATTTTCGTCACTGCAGTGCACTCTTTCCTTCTGTCTATCTCTCTTTCATTAGTTAACTTCTCAACAAGCAGCTCATGGATTCTTTGAGACAAGTGCGAAAACCGGTAAGAATATACAAAATTTATTTCAAGCAGTCGCTGAGTGTATGGTATCTACATGGGGTGCTCCAAAAGTTAGTTTGATATTTTTAATTTAACTGAAATTTAAACTTTAATAATTTAACTCATGTTATTGTCAGGATTTTCATTTTGTCATTTTAAACGACATCGTTAATACGAACTTCAAAAAGAAGAAATGATCTATTTAAATTTATTCGTTTGTTGTTGTAATAGTTAGCCTTGGTCTTATTATCATTTTGATTATATTCCTCTATAACATGTTTCTTGAAAGTGTATGTTCAGTTGTTGTTGTTCAGTATTGAGATGACATTTATAAAATTAACTAAGGAAATGAATAAACTAACCAAATAAACAACTCAATTCTCAATATTCTTAATCAATCACCTTATAAAAAATACCATCTCGTGTTTTTTTATCCTGTATAAATATTTTGTACATAAGTTTCGTATTGAATGAATTTGGTTAAAAGAAAAAAATTTATTCTTTCAACTTATCGGATTTTTTTTTAGAAAAAAATTTGTTCAAAGATTAACATTATTTAAGATATATTGGTATCAGCGCTAAAATTGAGTGAAACAAATCATGTAAAGTTAAGTTTTCACAAATATCATAAATGGGATTAATTTCTGATTAATTTCATTACGCTTCTAAACTACACTTATAATTCTAGTTTGAATGGTTTCAGATATAGTGCTGTAATTGTTTACATATCTATTAAAGATGGTAAGATGATCGGTTTTTTGGTTCCCGTACTTCATTTCACTTTTGTGGATTGTTTAAGTTGTTGCTTTTTGATGAAGTTGCGTGGATAGCCGTTGTTATAAAAGGTAGCCTCCAGACATTTTTCTTAGTTTTTCTGTGTTTCATATGTTCTGCAATGTGTTTTCGCTCTCTTGCATAAAGTTTGTACGCAGATGGTTCTGTGTGCTCTTGTTGAGAATTTGTTCTGTGTGGTTTGGCTTCCAATATACTGGCGTCTCTAGTTTTCCTGCGTCAGCTCTAGTAATTAATACATCCAGGAATGATAATTTGTTGTTTCAACTCCTTTTCTATTGGGAATTTAATGTCATCAAAGATGGTGTTGATCCGATTGTACATATATTTAAGGCTAAGATAGTTATTTTGTTTTAAGTTTGTAATTCATTATGAGTGTTCTAATCTTGGCAAACTTCAGTTCTTGTTATGCATGATGTTCTCAATATTCAATACATATTTTGTATCCAGGAGTTTTACTCATTTTTTGTTCACTTTTGTACAAATTCGCTCTGATTTAATTCAATAAGAAATAGTTTGGATTATTTTATTGTTGATATTTTTGACTGACAGTTGATTTTTCCTGTTAGGTATGGATTATTTCAGCATAGCCATTATGACAAAAGTTGATATAGAATAAATGAATTACGGCTAGCAGTGCAATTCATTATGTACATTTTGTCCATTTCGGGGGTTCGTCAGCTAAATATACGTGCATTCTCTCATTTCGGTGATTCCAACTAATAAGTTTCGTATTGGATGAAACAAACATTCTGGATTATTTCTTCTCTAGCCACACTCCATTCATTAATTATTAATCAGTATGAATCAGTACGAACTACCTACTGAACAAGAATATAAATTATCCTTAGACTATGAAATTTCAAAAAAACTGAGTCATAGAAACACGATGATGACGATGATGATGATGATGATGAGGATCAAGGAAAATACATTGTAGCAAAATGCTTGTTAGCTGTTCATTTTTATTTTACTTCGTCTGTCTTTTGCTGAGCTAGAGTGATCTATAGTTTTGTCTTTCACGCTTACTATTATTATCACTACTGTTAAGATTTGTTTGCATTGATATCCAGTGTAAGGGTAAAGAGAAATTAAGCATAAAACGGTATCAGACTGGTTGATTGATTAATTGACAATGACCACAACCCTAAATGATTATGAAGAGAAAAAACAAGTTTATTGAAAAGCAAAACTTCTGTATTACACACATAATGGTTATGTAATAGTAATCAGTAATAATATAGTGACAGTTAAGTGGAATCACGATGTTGCATAAGGGGTCATATTCATAATTCCTATTATATTAGTCCTAGTAAGTCGTAATATGATGATGATTTCATCCGACGTGTCGTGAGTATTTACTTATTCCTAAAGTAAAGTGTTTGTGGAGATTATTTAATTTTATAGTGGCATCATAAACTGAAAATCAAAAAGTATTGAACATCTGTTACGTCCTAGTTTGAACTATTCAAACAGTGCGAATTCATAGCCGTATAAGGCATAGAAATCAATACTCTCAGGTGTTACAATGAGAGCGTAACATTTAAACCATCATATCAGTATTCGATAATTTACATTATGAACATTACAATTAAATCATAATATTGTACAATTATCATTCAATGTTCTTGGTGGGCAGTTAACTATTTGACATCAAACATCAATGAATTCCACTTATTACGGTTTCTCATTCGATCACTGAGAACTAATTCTCAAAATTAATTATTAGTAAGTTAAATATATGATTATAATTATTAGTGTAACTGATTTATGTTGAATTCCAAATATTTCTAGTGTAATTTATAGTTTCATTGGTCAAGTGTACATATTCATTTCCTTATACTTTTTATTTTAGCGCTGGTATGAAATAAACCCTGTGGGTAATGATAATTTAGATCCGTGGTCGAATTCTGTAAGTTTTGTGTATACTTATTTGTATTAATACAACTAATAATCATTATTAATATTACTATTAGTACTACTGAAGATGATTGAATTTTTGACTAAAGATGGTTGGAAGGGATCGGAAGGAAACTCTACACCTAGTTTCAATATCAGTTGGTACTTGCCAGCCAGGTGTCCTTGCAGTCTTGTGGAAACTGGAAGCCTATGTAGGACTCGACTTTGGATTACTGTTTCACATTCTAATACATTAATATTGGACTATTTGAGTAATTTAATGATTTCCCAAGGGACTGAGATATTTACATTGATTGATCATTCAATGTATGGAAGGAAGTAGATGCTCTGTTAACATATATCAATATGATCAAATTCCTTTTCAAAAACTCACCATTTATGAAAATATATATACCCAGTCTACATTTCTATTATTAGTAATATTTGTGGAAATTCTCATGTTTCATATAACTAGCTAGCTATTGTCTCAAATCACTTTTCAGGAATATCGTATGCACAAATGTCCCTAGCAAAATAAACTCAAAACAACTAGATATGCATGCATTCAATGGTTTGATCAACCAAGCTGACAGATGGTCTTTGTAGACTGTTCATCACTCCTGAAGTCTTCCTACCCCTCTCTGAAAACATTGATCTTCCTAAAATTACCTTATTTTTACTGTATTTTGATTAAAGTACTGGATTTCGCAACCCTTCTGGTAAACTGTTCAAGTTTCGGTTTATGTGTATGAACTATCATAGCCAAAATTAGTAAACAAAAATAATGTTTAATTTTTATTCCAGTTTTTTTATTCTCTAACAAATATCTTTTTATGTTTTTTTTATGAAAAATTTATAGTATACTCAACGTTACAAGGATACCGTTCAATTAGATCAGAAAAGAATTCATAATAAAGTACAATGTTGTTTAACACATTAACAAGTAGTCTATGTTCTCATTATTAGTATTATTATTATTATTATTATTATTATTATTATTATTATTCTATTCTACTCTATTCTAAAGTATACTACTTAAAAACGTTGTATACGTAGTATGATTTGTATCACATTTATTCTTCTCGATATTTTGATGGAAAAAACCCATTGAATTTTTTCATCTTGATTAATCAGGATAAATCATCTATACATCGTTCAAATAACTATGTGTACATAGAAATTTTTAAATTATTATAAAGATAATATATGTTTTACTTATTTGCATTCATTCATTGAAATATTCACACACAAACACATACACAGCATATTCACTTAAAAATCTTCATAATTTTTTCACTAACCATTTACTACTACTGTTACTTATTATACATAAAATTCTTTTCAATAACTCATTTTAAAGCATAACACTAAAATTGAGGCTAAATAGAATGAAATGTTACACTGATGATTTAAAGCAGAAAAAAAAATAAATAAATAAATAAGGCATTTTTCTATTTGATTGTTTTATTTCCTTCCTAATGTACACAGTGTCCCATCTGTTTCAATATTCATATAACAGATAGATATATAATATTATAATGAATATATGTGATGATGTGTAATGTAAGAAGAATTTAAATAAAAAAACAACAAAACAACAAAACACAGAACAAAAGTATTTCAATGAACGTTCACATAATCATCGATCAGTCAATGAGTTAATCAATCTTCACAGAGTTCACATTGATTCATTTGAGTTGTTATTATTATTTCTTTCTTACTTTTCTTACTTCAATGAATCTTTCTGAATTTATAGTTATTAAATTTTTAAAAAAAAAAAATAAATTGATTTATTAATTAACGTTGAAAGTTGTTGTTTCATTTTAATTGGCTAACATGTTAAGTTTCATTTAGTTGTTTGTTGAAGTGAACTAATTATTTTTTCCTGTTAATCCTCAGATCAATATTAATAAATAAATATTGTGAAAATAGTTACAGAATGCATTACTAGTTAGTCCAGGTATCATTAAGTGTTCATGCAAAAGAACTTCAATCATGGTAAGTAGAAAAAAAATGGAGTGAGGCAGTATTTGAAAATGAAACAGTAGTTGTGAATCAGTATTTTCCTAGTAAAATAACTATAATGTTGTAGTGAAAAATGAACAATTCAATGGAGAATGGTTTCAGTGATGTTACAGGCTGATGTCTGATATGATACAGGTATTAGAATAGTTTCAGTCCGTGGTATGCTACGATAATGAAACTGGTTTAGGTGAGCGATCTTATTCTGCCGCCGAATTGGATACTTGAATGGTGATACACTACAAAGAGCTTAGATCTCGTTGCATCAGATACCAGGTTCACGACCGAATGTAGGAAACCAGAGTATATACTAGAAAAATACAAACTGTCACTCCCAGTGAAACCGAAAAAGAAATCAATAAAAGGAAAGAAAGTCATATTTTTAATAGTGAGTAGTCTCAGTACTGGATTGTTCACATTTTAATGACCAACCATTTTTTACTTCTACTACCTCTAAAATTCCAATCTAAATCATCTGGCTACATAACTGACCAGAAGAAATGCTTGCATAATGATTTCAGACTTAAAGAATTTTTAAACCTTGCGTCATGAGTCATTCTAATGTCATTTACATGGTCAAAAGTATGGTAGAAAAGAAAGCTCGTCCTTCAGTTAAATCTTGCGTTTGACGGTTGGAAAAAATAGGGATTGATAAAAGTACGCTTAAATCTGAGTTTAGCAATTAGATGAGTCTTTCGGTATAAGCCAAATTTCAGGGTAACATATGTAACAATGAGATGATTGTAAAACATGATTTTAATAAGCGAAAAGTGGTAAGCAAAGTATCAGAAATTGAGTACATAAGCGTCTGCGGTATGTAGTTCGTTATGAGAAAGAAACCATTATTGAGAAGCGGTAATTGACAGAGTTCAGCCATATTGAAAAGAACGTAGATGGTTGTTGACTAATAATAAAGAGGAATGTTTACAAAATATCAGGTATTGCTTAAAGTTGGAAATGTAAACTACTAGCTTTCGGTTAAACGGTTTAAAGGTCAAGCGATCGCTGCGATTCCCGACGGTTTGGAGTTTTAACCTCAAATTTTCTTCCAGCCTACTCCTACATTAGTCAACATTGTATGTCGAGGAAGGCAGTGAGTAAAGACGTATAGTACCTGTAGAAACTACCTTGGTCGATGAAGATTAGCTCCTTCATCAACTGATTCACAGGTTTTACTTAGTACCGTGATTCTGACCTAAAAATACAAAACCATTCTTTTGAAGACACATTTTACTGAATACTTGTAATCTACGAATGTTCTCTATTCTTAGTGATAGTGTTTAACACCCATAATAAGGAACAGATTGAACTGTTGTGCAATAAACTAATCTTTAGGTTGGCAGACTGATTTTGCACCTTCGCCACAAATGACGTAAACTGATAAACCTTTATGAATTTATGTCAAGGTTTGATCTGACTCCAACTGATCATTATTTATGAGATTTGAAAAATCAGTGATGTGGCCAATCAGATAAATTGTTTCATTTCATTTATTTTGTTTAACCATTGAAACAGACGAGAGGGCGACAAATGCACTCCGAAGATCTTCTTAACATTGTCCTTTAAGACAGTCAGAAGACTCTAATGTTTTTTCAGTGTCTGCACCGAACAGAACTAAATAATCTGATTATTCAAAGTTAACAAATTTATTTTCTAGTAGTATATCTAAAACTTATTATGATGAGAGCATTATTCCTTTAAAACGATGAATTATGAAGTCAAATGAGGGAAAAACTGGTGGACGAATAAACACTACTTTTGGTTAATAATTTGCCGTGAGCACTAACGTAATCAATAGTGTCCGAGTAGGGCCTCTTTAATGTTGATATGTTTCTTTTGTATGCCTTTTAACGAGAGGCACTACCACAGTACCAATCAAACAAATGGGTCGAATGATGCACTAAAGACAGAGAATTTAAATAAAAACCAGATGTTTAAAAATGTATTTGTATTTTAGGAGCTGATGGAAGACAGGCAAATATTAACCTACAGAGCCGAAGCTAGTCTCGTTTCTTCGGCTTCGCTATTCACAGCTTCTACTAAACAGTTGGACGATAATTGGAACTAATATTTTAGACACTTTTAGTCATACTATTCCTCTAAAAAAGTTTTGTTCCTTTTTGTAAACTGAAATGATTGAAGATCAAAACCAAACTGATGTAATTACGTCCATTTCTAAGATTCTCGTTAATACCTCAGTTGAATTAACTGCTAGAATTATAATACTTTCATTAGAAATTATAGGACTTGCTGTCATCCTTCAGCTTAGATTTGCCATGGTATTTTGAAACTCGCTAAGAATTGAGAGATTAGAGTCTATTCCTCATTCAGGTTGTTTGAAGGTGGTCTTCATTTACTCTTTAATTAACTCCTAACTGACAAACAGTGACGGAGTCAAATCCAACGATAATAATTGAAATTGAAACAAACAACCAAAACACAGTTATATCCAAAAATACTTTTTATTTTCTTTGAAATAAATTAAATTAACAATCTGAAGAAATAAAAGATTTCTTCAGTGGTGTTTTTTTCCTCAAAAGAACAGTTTTCTTTCGATTTCTACAATGTCCGCTTCTTCACTCACTTTTATACATACATGTTCAATGACTAATGTGCGTATGCATGAGTAAAAAAATATTGATTGAATCGTCTATAAAATCGAGCAATGACAAATATTTCATAGCAATGAGAAAAATTATATTCTTTGTCATTTTTCCAAATATATATATATTTAGAATCACTCAGGAGATGATATACAGAGAAAATAATTGTACGAGAGAGATAGAGAGGAAAAATGAGAATGTTTCAAACAAATATACAACAGAATAAAACAAATAATATTTTTTGTATATTGTGTTCATAATATTAAGATAACACCGGGCGAAATAAAACAAAAAACCCAATACAATGAATACCATTTGAAAATGACATTTCATGATGGTTGACACGAAAAAAGACTTCAGGACTGAGATGCTTTATTGTTGTAGATTCAGTCACTCTTTCAAAAAGAAACAGTAAAAATGTTTCCGATAGGTAAAAATAATTTTTTTTTAGCAAAAAAAGAGAACGTATTATCTATTGTCAATTCTTTGACAAAATTTTTTAAGGAACCTGAAAAAGTTTAAATGCGATGAATGTTACAATGAATTACAAGTAATCACACACATATTCATTAAAAAATTTTCTGATAATATAATTAATGCGAAGAAATTGGATGAAATTTCATTGAACTATTTGTTAAATATATTAATGAACACACACACACACATATATATATATATATATATATATATATATATATATATATATATATATATATATATATATAAATGTACACTTGTTCAATATTCATCTATCATGCAAACAGGTATTTGACTAGATGAATTAGAATTTAATATTACTGAACTAGACATTAATGGATCAAATGTTGATGGTAAATATTTTGGATAATTTTGACGACAATCTGATGGTACTTTAGGATAACAACCATTAGAAATAATATTACATGTATCTAATAACTGACGTACAAATAATTGTTTATAACTTCCATTCATATCTTCATTATTTGATGCATAAATTAATATTAAATAATATCTTGGATAATCATTACGATGATATGCAGGTATAGTTAATTCGAGTGAATGCATTCCTTGAGTTGTTTGACAATAAATTGGTTTATTCATTTGTTTCGTCTGTTTAGATAATGTATGTTTTGGAAATTCACAATAGTTAGTCTATATAGATATAGATAGATATGCATAAAGATTAAAATTTCATTGTAGAGTTGTACAGGATGTTGAGTTACTTTGAAATTATGGATCAATCAATGTTAGGTCACCGTTGGAAATCTGGAGGTACTGGACGGCTGTTTCACCATAGTAGTATGTGACTCATCATCGAAGTTAGACATTAACAGTGTTGGATGTCACCTGAGCGGTGCAAACATTAAGCGTTTGTGCGCAAGACCGTAGAATCCGGGTTTGATTCCTGCGAGTAGCGAGGTTTTTGGATAAGCACTGCTAATGCATACCATACCAGGACAAAACGGCCGTCCAGCTCTTCCACGTTTCTAATGGTGGTCTAACAATGATTTATTCATGATTTCAAACATATTAAATGCAAAAATAAATCAGTAATCTATTATGGAACACTAATAAATATTTTTTTAGCTGCATTCTCGGAGATTTATCTGAGTTTCGATAACGTTAAAGACCAGGTAGAATATTGAACAGCCAGATAACTTATCTTAGGCGGGAACTGCTGTGTGAATGTTAAACTGTTAGTCTCCACCTTGAAGTTTCTATTGTCAATTTCCGTTTGAAGGGTTCCGGAGGTGCTCCTCGACTGCGATTTCGATGTAAGTTGTATTTTTAAGTTAGTTATGCGTCAGATAGTGAGTAACAGTGAAATTCATGGACTCGTCAGTCAGTCAGCAGTAAATGTATATCAAGTTAGTAATTTATACATTAGGAGAAAAATACATTTTAGGTTCCCGTGTTATTCACTTCTCGAATTTGTAATCAGTTGTTTAAAGGCAGTTATGACAGAAGTATATGAGGCTTTATTCAAAGCTGGATTATATTATTATCTTCATATATATGTGTAATGACCGAAAAACTTACTAAATTTTTTCATTACGAAACGGCGGTGCAGTGCTTTCATGTTTTTGATAGTGGTCAAACAATGATTCATAATTTAAACTTACTAGGCTGTGAGATCAGTTTAACTAAATTGTCAGTAACATTTCATTTTGCAAACAAAAGAAGAACGTTTGTAATATTCCACAACTTTATTGTATTTTGTTTTAGCTACATACAGTCGAATAAGTTAGATTAGCTCAAAATATTAACAAAAATCCACGATTTCGTCAGAAGTCCAGCAGAAAATCTTATAGCCATGCAACAGATGGAAGTTGCACATTATATTACACGGATCGAAATTAGAAGTACGAGCTATCGAACACAAACTATGCGTTCAGTCACTCCAAACATAACCATTTTGATGACTCAGAAATTCAACAGAGCCAATGAAATAGCTTAAATGAACTTTAACCAATTAAAATTCAACTGTCTTTAATAACCAATGATGATTATTCGATAATTAACCAATTAAAATTCATAATCTCTTACCATATTATTATTTAAGTAATCCCACATTAAATTTAACTTGTTCATTGGATCATTTAGTACTGGTAAGGTATAGATCCAATAATTTTGTGGATTCGCATGAATTTTTAGACTGATATATACTTGATGTGATGTACACTCGACACCAATTTGAAAACCATTCTTATATGGAATATCTCTTGATTGTCGTTTTAATAAATTTGGAATGTTTAAAAAATTATTATTATTCCTCAGTGAAATGACATTAACTGTTTTCATATAATAGCTGTTAATCTGTTTTGAGTTCAACTTCATATTGAATTGCATTCGATGATAATTAGCACGTTTTACACGATGATTAGTAAAACGATAACGTCTTGAGTTGTGTTGTAGAAATGGAGATGGAATTTGAAAAATGGTTTGGTTACTTGATGGTTGAACAGTAATAGTAGAAATATCTGTTGGAAAATCTGTAGAAAAAATATCATTAAATGAAGAGCATCATAGAAATTAAACAATATTAAAATTAATAAAGATAACGATATTTATATTATATTGACCAGTATTACGAACTTATATCAGGTAAAGTATTATTGTAAACTCATTTACATTTTGTCTTCTCCCAGATCTTCAGTGTCAGTATTTATCGTACAACCTATCTTTTCAATCTCTGTTTTTGAAATCATACTGTTAGTTTCCCATCTCGCTATACTGAAGCTTTCTGACAGCTTGGACTGAATTATAGTCTTGTTTTCCATTAATCGTAGGTGATTATTCAGACGTGCGCAGGCAAGAACTTAAGAAAGATTGAAACCACAGCAGTTTGTGTAAATTATAATATATATATTTATATATAATGTAGTGTGCACTAATATCATCAAAGTTTAGATAGATAGCGTATATCATTGAATCATTGACTCTGAGATACATTATTATTTCGTTGAAATGAAAAATTGATCATTATAAGTCCACCATCAGAAATCTGGAAGCTTTAGAACTTTCCGTTCAAATATGTGACTCCTTAGCAGTGTGCATCCACGATCCACGCTCACCGCGATCACTGTCGTTCAAGCCAGTTGAGTGCAAGTAGTTATCTACCGAAAACAATGGGTGAGGTTGCCCAGTACCGTGGACTGACCAAAGGTAAACATTATCAACGTTGGATGCCGTCTCATTGATGTATAGGTTAAGCGTCTGCGTGTGACTGAAGGTCTTCGGTTCAATTCACTAATTCTGTAAGTACTTTTCAGCTGAATCTATAAACTGGCCTGAATTAAATAATCCTAATTTGAAATTCCTCAACTGTGCATATCGACTGTAGGTTTTCAATGATTATCTAACTCAGATCGGTTCATCAATGTTAAACACGAATTCAACAGTAATCACAAGCTAATCATGTTCAATTTATATACATAAAACTAATAACGACTTGTGAACGTTATTATTACGGGGTTTGGTGAAGACTTCAATTCTACAGTTGCTCGAAATTGAGGAGTCCCAATCTCGGACGGAACGGTTGTTCAATGCTACCAAGTCTTCAAAAGTTGTCAGATTGAGATCTGTCGCTATTACTAATTATAAAGGTGTGAATGACTGTTTCTTTTGCTTACTGAATCGTTCGAAAACTTAAATTGCTGAATAAGTTTATTTCTTAAAAATAAGTTTTAGTATTTTAAATAGAATAAAACTGATTTATCAAAATATTTTTTTATTCATACATGTATGTTTTGGTTTTTGAGGTAGTAAGTTGCTTGTGTTAGTTTTTAAGAAAAAATATCTACCCACTGGTTCTTTATTTTCAAAATTAGGATTGCCGTTCAATTTTATGTAATAAATTCCATTGCCAGCATTTAAACACATGCGTAATACTCGATGACTATTAATTGGATATTCACATAATGTTTGTAAATTAAAAATTGCACTACCTGAATCCCTGTAAAGAGGAAAATATGAAAACAAAATTACAAAAATTGACATCTGGCAAACAGTATCAATCATCACAAAGATTACCTATCAGTAAGTCATGACTACCATTACTGTTCACACTACTACTCCTATTGTGGTGGTGGTTTATAAGTAGTATGCGGCAGAGACTCCGCCTGAGGCTTTTCTGAGTGTGCTGCCAGTCCTACGCTCGAATAAAGGAGAAGGGTAAGGCTTCGGGTTCGCGACCTCGTTCCATAGGAAACTTACTCGTTAAAAAAACACAAACCGGAAAATATAATTCAAACCATTTTATTTCTGTTACAGCAGTGAGAAGGTCTTAATTGACATTAGTTATAACGTCTCATCGTGAAAGCCGAGTTCCCTCGGAAATCACGAGGCCGCTGCCTCTTCCGATAACCAGAGCAACCATTCTTTAAGAGACGTGGAACGTTCGTACAATGTGGGAGACTGGAAGACTAGATGCTGCAGATATGAAAAGATACAACCTCGAGGTGCTTGGAATCAGTGAAACACATTGGACGCAGGTTGGACAACTGAGACTAGCTTCAGGGGAACTGCCATTATACTCCGGTCGTGAAGAAGCAAATGCATCGCACACACAAGGAGTTGCACTGATACTGTCCAAACAAGCACAAAATGCACTAATAGGATGGGAATCTCATGGACCAAGGATCATCAAAGCATCCTTCAAAACAAAGAAACAGGACATTACAATAAACGTCATCCAATACTATGCACCTACCAATGACTATAATGACGACGTTAAAGATCAATTCTACGGAAGGCTGCAGTCAATTGTCGACAGATGCTCACCAAAGGATTTGACGACTCAAATGGGAGACCTAAATGCCAAGGTTGGAATGGACAACACTGGATATGAAGAGATCATGGGACGACATGGAGTGGGAGAAAGGAACGAAAACAGTGAGAGATTTGCAAGCCCATGTGCCTCCGACAAACTGGATATCGACGGCACTATATTCCTAAACAAGCGCATACAAAAGGCTACACGGATTTCACTGGATCACACTACTCAGAAAACAATCTACCACATCTGCATCAACAAAGCAGTTCAGAAGGATAATGGATGATGTGAGAACCTAGAGAGGAGCTGAGATAGACTCAGATCACCACTTGCTGATCGCCAAAATGAAACTGAAACTCAAGAAGCACTGGACAGCGATGAGGACAACATAACAAAATTTTAATACAGCCTTTCTTCGAGATACTGGAAAGTTCAACCTATTTACGTTAGCACTTAGCAATAGGTTCCAGGCATTTCACGATTCACTCAATGGAGAGGCAACAACCATGGAGAACAATTCGAAAGGGATCAAAGAGGCAATCACTTCAATATGTCAGGTGGGTCTGAACCAGAAGAAGTACCACCACAAGGAATGGATCTCTGTTGGTACTCCGGATAAGATTCAAGAAAGGAAGAACAAGAAGGCTGCAATCAACATCAGCCAAACAAGAACAGAGAAAGTTACCGCATAAGCTGAATACACAGAAACAAACAGGCAAGTGAGGAGGAGCATCAGAACTGACAAACGAAAATATGTGGAAGATCTAGCAATGACGGCAGAAAACGCTACAAGAGAAGGAAACTTGAAACAATTGTACGATACAATAAAGAAGCTCGCTGGAAACTATCGTAAATCATAACGACCACTGAAAACCAAGGAAGGCGAAGTCATCAACAACATTGAAAAACAGCGAATCAAGTGGGCAGCGTACCCTAAGGAACTCCTGAATCGACCAGCCTCAACGAACACACCCAACTTCGAAGCAGCATCCACGGCCTTCCAATCAAAGTCGGCCCACCAACAATTGGAGCGATCAGTATGGCCAGCAGATGAATCAAGAGTGGCAAAGCAGCGGGACCAAACAACATTCCAGCAGAGGCGATCAAAGCAGACGTGGCAGCAACTGCATAAATATTTCACATTCTCTTCAACAAGTTTTGGGCTGAAGAACAAGTACCATCAGACTGGAAAGAAGGAAGCCTCATCGAAATACCAAAGGAAAGCGATCTCAGCGAGTCAGAGAACTACACAGGCATCACTCTTCTCTCAATACCAGGCAAAATCTTCAACAGGGTATTGTTAACCAGAATGAAGAACCTCGTAGATGCCCAACTTCAAGATCAACAGGCTGGATTCGGTAAGGATAGATCTTGTACCGACCAAATTGCAACATTACGCATCATCGTGGAACAATTCACCTCTGTACACCAACTTCATTGACTACAAGAAAGCATTCGATAGCGTAGACAGAATGAAACTATAGACGCTTCTTCGCTACTACACAGTGTCTGCGAAAATAGTTAACATCATACGCAATTCTCACTATGGATTAAACTGCAAAATAGTGCACGGAGGACAGCTAACAGAATCGTTCGACGTGGAGATCGGTCTCATTCAAGGTTGCTTACTCTCACTGTCTCTCTTTATCCTGGTAATCGACTGGATTATGAAGACGCCGAAAACTGGAGGGAAGCACGGTATCCAATGGACAACTAGGATGCAGCTGGACGAGCTGGACTTCGCAGATGTTCTATCTCTTCTATCTCACACGCAACAACAAATGCAAGAGAAGACGACCAGTGTAGCAACAGCCTCAGCAGCAGTACGTCTCAACATACATAAAGGGAAAAGCAAGATTCTCTGATGCAATGCAACATGCGCCAATCAAATCACGCTTGATGGAGATGCCTTGGAGGAAATAAAAGCCTTCACATATCTGAGCAGCATCATCGACAACCATGGTGGATCCGATGCAGATTTGAGGGAGCGGATCGGAAAAGCAAGGACAGCATTTCTACAATTGAAGAACATCTCCAACTCCAAGTAAATAACAATCAACACCGAAATCAGGATTTTCAATACAAATGTGATAAGTTCGTCACTTAGTATGCTTGAGGCTATTACGAGTTTACCTTAGTCGATAAACGCGAACGAGACTTTTACCAGCTTCCAGGGAGGCTACCTTGAATCCGAGGCTGAAGTGAAAAGGCTTTGTAAGCGTAGAAAGTATATTCTAGAAACACCCAGCAATCACAGTACAATCAAGCATACAACTCTCGTTTATTTATACAACATAAGAACGTCCTTGAGACAGTTAAGAAAATAGCATAATAAAATACACAGCAGCCAATGACAGCCATGGATTTTCCTGGTGGGAACTGAAATCTCAAGGTCATCTGATCAGCCCATGCTGGCAAAACGTGAAAACCAAAATACGGCATTATCAAGCGAATTTCGGGGATCTAACATCCCCAACACTCCTCCCCTTTTTAATAGCGCGTTCTCCTGGGGTCGACTTGCATCTTGACTATTGTTCGCCGCTGTCTGAGTGGATACCTTCGGGAACGAAGAACAGATTGCTGCTGAGTTTCTTCTCGTGGCGCGGCTCTCGGAAGGTTGAAGGTATCAAGCAAGATGTCAAGGGGAAGGCTTTCTGCTCTTGATGGGCGATCTGGGGCTAGCCGTCTGCGTATCTGATTCGGATGACGTGACCATTTATCACCTCCTACCTCTACTTCGTACATAACTCGACCAACCCTTCTTACCACTCTCGCTTCTACCCACGGACCATGGTTCGTTCTGTAGTCGCGGGCAAACACAGGGCATCCTACTTCGTAAGCGGATTGTCTTTGCAGCTTTGTCTCTACTGATGAGGGTGCGTTCGTAGGATGCATCAGGCTGTGGATCGTTTTCAATCTTCTTCCCATCAGGATTTCAGCTGGGGACTTTTGTTCCGGTAACAATTCATTTGGTGTTGTCCGATAGACGTACAAGAAATTTTGTAACGCTTCGGCTGGCGTCCCCTCCCCTTTTGACTTAAGCAGTGATCTTTTAAACGTATCCACAAACCTTTCCGCCTGCCTATTCGATTGCGGGTGGTATGGTGGCGAGCGTAAGTGTTTAATGGCTAGCCGTTGACAGAAATTCTGGAATTGGGAAGAGGTGGATTGAGAGCCATTGTCGGATACGATCACATCTGGTATGCCGTTTCGTGAGAAAATTTCAGAAAGGAGCTGTATAGTCTTAGTTGTAGTGGGCGGCATAACGGGGCTGATTTCCGGCCATTTAGAAAAGGCGTCGACGACAATTAAATACATAGTTCCATTTATTGGGCCAGCGAAGTCGACATGTATTCTGGACCAAGGATGCTCAGGTTTGGGCCATGAAACCGGCGGAATTTCGGCATTCATCTTTGCCGCCTGCTGACACCGCATGCATTTTTCAACCAACGCTGTGACATGTTGATCCATGTGAGGCCAGTATGCATAACTCCTGGCTATGGAATTCATTCGTTTAATCCCAGGATGACCGAGATGGAACTGTCTCAGCACTTTTGCACGAAGGGATTCTGGCACCACTACTCTTTCACCAAACATCAGACAATCGTTCACGATGCATAGTGACTCCCGCCGCTGATACAGTTGCTTCATGTCACCTTCAAACTTTTTCGACGGCTAACCGTTAGTGACATATTTCATCGTCATCTTGATGATGGGGTCGTTTCTAGAAGCATTTTGTATGTCTGATGCAGACACCGGTAATGCGCGAACTGCGGTTGTCAGATAATATACTGCGTGGTCTTCTACCGACAGAGATGCGATCACCATTTTTTCCTCAGCCGCCACTTGATCATAAATGAGTCGTGACAAAGCGTCTGCTTGACCGAATTGTAGAGTACGTCGATATTGGATTTCGAAATCATACCCCAAAAGTACCAAGGCCCATCGCTGAAGACGATTTGCAGAATGGGCTGGAATGCCAGACTTTGAACCAAATATTGTTAACGGAGGCTTGTGATCTGTGAGGAGCGTGAATCTCCGGCCGTACAGAAACTTATGGAAACGGCGAACAACAAACACAAGGGCAAGAGCTTCTTTCTCTATCTGGCTATACTTCTTTCCTGCTGGGGTCAGTGTACGGGATGCATGCATAACGGCTTTTTCTGACGCGTTTGGAAACT